GTGACCAAAGCAACAGCATCTCCCTCTTTGGATAGTTTTGATAACCAGAGTCTCTTCTGCCTCCCCTTATCCCACCCTAGGCTGGGATAATGCCTGGAATGGCTGCACTGGGATAGGAAAGAGGCTTTATAGGGGTCACTCTGGGGTCATGGCTCTGGATGATTTATTTTTAGGAGCTGGGTGGTGGGGGTTTCATTGTCTTCTCTTGGGCTCTGGGTACGTTTGCCACTGCTCCCCACCCCAGAACCAACTTTTTCCTTTTCCTGGCAACATCCAGGCTGTCTCCCCTTTTCTCTCCCAGGCTAAATTGGGAGTGTGAAGCTGCTCTTCTTCCCAATTTAGCTTTTGAATTAAAGTGAGAACTGAATGTGGCTGGAAAGCTGACTCCCATCTGTGTGTGTGAGAGAGAAAAGGAGAGCAACTGAGCCTGAGCACAGGCTGGGGCAATCTGAAGGAGGGGGCTGATCTCGGCAGCTGCTGTCACACACACACCCATCCTCAGGAGCAGGCAAACAGCTCAGCAGAGGGAGGGTAAGGTTTGAAGGTTGGTGTTTTTTTCCAGGAGTGCCGTGGGGACATCATTTGAACATTTCACGAAGATGCGCCGAGAGCTTACTGTACGCCAGGCCTTGTACTAGATGCTGGGGAAACAGTGGTGAGCCAGGTAGACCCATCATCAATGCCCCAGCTTTCAATGTGGTGGTGAAACAGGCAACGACCAAACAGGGTAATGTGTGCTGTCAAGCAGAAAGAGAGGGGCCTGGATGGAATGGAGTGGGGGAGTCACATTTAAGCCGAGACTTGAAACACGTGCAGGAGCTGACCAAGTGATGCAGGAGAGCAAGAGTGATTGGGCAGAAGGCACTGTGCATGCAAAGATTTGGGGCCAGGCAAACAGCGCTGACCCCAGACAAGATGGGCTCAAGAGGGCTCAAGAGCGTTTACCTCCTCCTCCAGCCCCTCTCTACTCCCCTTCTTTCAGGGAGAACAAAACCAGATAAGAACGACCTAGGCAAAAGAAGTCTGGGAGCACGTAAGTCCCTTTTGTTCGGGCTCTAAATAGTTGAGGCAGGGGTGGGGAAGCTGCAGGTCTCCTGAGCTGCCACTCAGAAATCTGGACCTGGCAGGTCCAAGATGGACATGGAACAGAGGAAAGGGGATCTCAGTCGCATCATAGGAGACACAGGTATCAAGAAGAGTCTCTGGGGTGGCCGGGTGGCTCAGTTGATTAGAGAGCGTGCTCTGAACAACAAGGTTACCGGTTCGATTCCCACATGGGCCAGTGAGCTGAGCCCTCTGCAACTAGATTGAAGACAACGACTTGAGCTGAGCTGCCAGTGGGCGGCCGGATGGCTCAGTTGGTTAGAGCACATGCTCTTAACAACAAGTTTGCCTGTTTGATTCTCACATGGGAATGGTGAGCTGTACCCTTAGCAACTAGATTGAAAATGGCGACTGGACTTGGAGCTGAGCTGTGCCTGGAAAGAACACACTGTTACCCAATAAAAAATGTTTAAAAACCCTAAAATTAAAAAAAAAAAAAGGATGGGACTCTTCTTGGTTTAGATTATCCTATCCTTCCCCTTGGGGGTGGGAGGACTGGATGAATCGATCTGGGGAACTTTCCTCTTCTTAGTTGATAGGAATGAATTATGATTCTGGCTGAGGTGGGAACCGGTCGAAATCTTGGCAAAACAATACCTTCTGTTAGCAGAGACAGGAAAGAGCTTTCTGGGGGCCATGACTTTCTCTGTCAGCTCTCGAGTTCCCCAGTGACAGGCACAGCTAAGGGATTCTGGTGTAAAACTTGTCATCAATATTTCAGGCAGCATTATTTATTGATCACTTATCTGGCTGGGACAAAAGGAGAGGGTAATCCATTAGGGATGCACGGCCGGTGGGGTCAGTTTGGGAAAGAGGTCAGGGAAAGATAGATCATTGAGGAGCCCCAGCCTGGGGTCCTGAAAAAATACCTTGGGATTCCAGGATTTGGGGATTAAAGTCTTTGTATACTTTAACTCTACAGTACCTCAGATGAAAACAACAGAAGGGGCAAGGAACAGAGAAAGCTGGGGCAGGCCTGGGACGGCCAGTGTGGCCATCAGGGAGATCATATCCAGGTGAGCTTCCCTCCCTCTGGACCCAGCCGGCCCCTCCCAAGTTTCTACCCCTTGCCACCTCTTGAGTTCTCTCCTCACTTGACCCCTGAAATCAGTTCCAGCAGCCTCTCTAGATGCCATGTCCCTTAGGCTGCAGCGCCCTCCCTGGGTCAGCCTGGCAATTTCCCTGCTCCCAGGAGGATATTTGATCCTCACCTAAAGGGAGTACCTGCCCTCTGAGTCTAGCCTCCTGTGGGGAGTGGGCAGGGGTTGTGCACACAGGCTGGGCTTAGGAAGTGACTGCTTGAGAATCCATAGCTCTCCTGTCTACCTGCAAGAATGCTTTCTTCATGAACCTCCAACTCCAGGGAGTGGGGTATGGGCATTCTGCTCACCAGACCTTAGGCGGAATGGCTGCAGGAAAGATTGTCCCTTGCAGAGACCAGGGAATCCCACTCTGGGAGGGAGCTGCGCCACCTAGTGGGCTTTTTCCTCCTTTCAGGCATGCCTCTCACTGGTGGCTACCTCTAGTCTAGATATGGGACAAGCTCTCTGGCAGAACCCAAATGGCTCTAAGACTTGAGGTGCCCTCCTCCTCCAGGCAGGCCTGACCCAGCTCAGAGAGAGAAAAACTGGGTGAATTTGGGAGGGAGATGATCACATACTGGCTGAAATTTAAGGCAATGGGGAAGCCAGCAGTGGATTTTGGCCTGGAAACAGTCTTTCCCTGTTATCCTGAAGGCCACAGATATGGGGACGGGTGGCCCAGAGCCCCCAGTGCTCCTGTCTTTTCTGTCTACCCCCCTTTCCTCTAGGCTGAGCAAGGCTGGGTTCAGCTCTGCTGATCAAGGAAGAGCTGGCACAGGCTGGATCTGCTGGCTTTCCTCTGACGTCATGGCCTGGAAATCCCATTTTAAGCAGGTTCCCTGGGTGTAGGGCACACAGAAGAAAGGGAGGGGGAGCCAGCTGAAGCAGCTCCATGCCTGAGGCCATTCTAGCCAGAAATCTCAGGCCCGGAGGGCTGCCCAGTGTCCCCAAGATGGGCTGGGTGTGGGACACAGGGCTAGACCTCAGCCCCCACTCCAAAGCTAATTATCTCTTAATACCCACTGGGGACCCAGGCAGTGATCAAGCACCTTCGAAATAGCTCTAGCCATACACCTCTGTTCTGGCCTCTGTTCCCCACTTCCCTGGCCTAAAGGGATCTACTGAGGCAGAGAGGAGCGGACAGGTTGTCCCAAGGAATGAGATAGCAAAGGGTCACCTAGATCCAGATGTGTCCCACCAGCTTCCTCCTCTCAGGAGCCTTTCTTTTTGTCACCCCGCATCTCTCCTCTCCTCCCCTGCACCACAGGGGCCAGGCCCTGTGCCGAGTTCTAGGAGGCTGAATGTTTCCATGGCAACGGACCAATGAGCTTGGAAATCTGAGTGTGTTCCTGTTGACACAGGGAAACCCAGATGTGCATGGAGATCCCGGCAATGCAGAATCTGGCAGTGACCTCCTTAGCTCCTGGTCACTGTGGGTACAAGTATGTATCTGAGTGTGTGTGTGTGTGTGTGTGTGTGTGTGTGTGTAGTGCAGCAAATGGGATTTAGGTTAGAGAGGGCCTAACCTGGTTTCCTGGCCATATGGTAGCTTCTAGCATGAGACTGCAGCATCTTACTCTCTGGAGATCTTTCTAGAACAAGAGAGTCTCTCCCCTGAATTCGGCCCTGACACTTCCTCTGTTTTCCTATAGAGAAAGGAGCCCATTTGCTCAGAGGCCCATGGTGAAAGCAATGACCTTGAGAGGGCTGCTGACTGGAAGCTTCCAGGGAAGATGAAAAAGATATCTCACACCCCACCTCCACTGTGACCTCAGTTCTGGATGGTCTTGGCCAGCTTGGCTCAAGTGTGGCAGAAGGACATATTGCTGTGATGCCAGGAAATGGGAAGGGAAGCCTGGTGTAGGGGCATTTTGCTGACCTTGGGGCCAGAGCCTGGGGCTAGGTTGCCACCCCCACCACCCCCAGCCCAGCCCTTGCTCTGCTTCCTCCATTTTCCTTCCACAAGGCTGAGCTGCTCTTTCTCTACTCCCTTCTCCCTCCTCCCTACTGCCCTCCCTCTCTCCCCGCTCCCCCTCCACTCTTTTATCTTCAGATGCTGCTTCTACTCGGCTGCCATCCTTTCCCTTCTCCTGAGTTCTGCCTTCCAGGGTCTCATTCTAGCTAGTCGTGCCCCTTGGCCTCTGGTGGCCTTGGCTCTACCTCCCAAGGGTTCAGAACCCATGTCCTGCAGCCCAGGCCTCAACCCCTCCCTTCTGGGGCCACATGGGCTACCTCTTTTGCCCTTGTACTTGGGTACCCCTCCTCCTTGTCTGTTCCCAGGTCAAACATGAACCATGGGGCTGGTTCCCCATCTCTACCTTTCCCTTTAACCCACTTGTCTCCTCCTTTCAGAGTCTCCGGCTCATGGCCCCCCTCCAACGTTTTGTAGCCTTTCTAGGCCCTGCGGCCATCCAATCCTCCAGCCCTGCCCAGCAGCCCATCCTCTCTTCCCTGGAAGCCTCATCAGGGTCTTTGTCCCCAGAGCTTACACCTGGCACTTTTCATGTGTACCAGAAAGTCTATTCAGGGTGGGGGGGTCTCAGGGCAGGATGCTGAAGGACCAGGGAGGGTTGGGGCCCCCTAGCCCTTCTTAAATCCTGGCCCCTGCTTGGCCCCTGGCTCTACCTTAAACCTCAAAACCATTTTCCCGTACCGAACCAGCTTATGCCTATCTTTTATCTGGGAAATCAGAGCTCCCTGGGTTCGGTTTGACCTCTTCCGTCCTCCCTCCCACAGCTGGGCCGTTGCACACTTCAGGTTCTTTCCACCTGTGGACTGGGTGGGACAAGAACAAAGCACAGAGGCCAAAATAAATGAGGTGCCAGAGTTTGGTTTATTGGCTCATCCAGCGCCAAAGGTCCAACGAGCATCCGCTTTCCACAAAATCGGGAGCCCCGTGGCTCCTTGTTTTTGCTTCTTCACACGCTCCTCCTGGCCCTGACTGAAGTCACGGGCAGAAGCTGGGGCAGGGTATGGGGCAAAGGCTGGGCTCTGATAAGGGTCTGCTCACGTGGGCCCAGTCCGCTTGGCACAGGGAAAGGATGGGGAAAAGGAGGATGGGCCCCAAGATGGGGAGGAAAGGAACCGGCTCGGCAAGGGCCTCTCCAGTGGGCCCTGCCCCAGTGTAAGGGCAGGGCAGGAAAGAGAGAAGACAGAAAAGAACTGAGGGCGGAAGAGGAGAGAGGCCCCGGCCTTGGAGCCCCCTTCTCTCATAGGCTGGGGTCCTCTGAGGCTCAGAGACTAGGAAGGAGGGCTGAGAGTGGGGGAAAGGGACAGCTGGCTATGGGACTAAGGGTGTGGGGGGGTGGCCATTGCTGGAGGGAAAGTCATTTACTCCAAATCCCTATAGCCCTAGACCCAGAAAGACAAACACACACACACACACACACACACACACACACACACACACACACACTCAAACTCACATCCCTGGAACTCCACCTCTTTTTAGTGGGGACACGTAGCACACAGCCCTACCCAATGCCCCCGGCTACAGCTCTGGCCTTGCCATCCTGGTCACTTAAGCACACACGAAGCCCCTTTCCTCCATTCACGGCTGTGGCCTGGAGCCCCCGCCCAGGTTCCCTGAGGCCTTGCCCTCTCTCTCCCTCCCTCCCCGATGCCTTCAGGCCCATCTCTGGTCCATCAGGGCTGTGACTGACTCCCACCTCTGACCAGGGGGTGCAGTAAGGGCATATTGGGACCCCAGAGGAGCGGATGGCCATGGTTTTCAGCAAGGCACTGGGTGGGCAGGCAGGGCTGGAGCAGGGAAGGCTGGAATGGAGGTTCAGGCTCTGAGGAACCCCCACCTCCTTGAATGGCTCTGTCCTCAGCTCCTAGTCCAACCTCTACCCTCAACCCCCCCCAGCATGGCCTCCCTCCTCCTTTCCAAGCCCTTCCAGAGGAGTGGCCACTGGACAGGCACCAGAAACAGCCATCGGAGGGGCCTGGGGCCTGAGACACATGGGCTATGGGCACAGTGTGGAGCAGGGGCTCTGTAGCTTGTGGGAATTGGGACCTCAAGCCGAGTCACCCCCACCAGAGGTTTTCTTCTTGGGCCGGGTCTTCAGCGTCTTGGAAGCCAGTGGCTGTGGGAAGGAGGCCGGTAGACAGAGTGCTCAGCCTGGAGCCCCCACCCTCACCTCCCCAAGCTCTGGCCGGGTTCTCACCTCAGCTTTGGGCACTTTTTTGACGGACTTGACCCTCTTAGGGGCCTTGTCTCCCACATCATCCTCAGAGGTCTCTGTCCGGGAATCTGCCGGGTTCATGCTAGACCGTAAACTCAGGGCAGGGTCATCTCCTGGTTGTGGGGAAGAAAAGGAGAACAGGGGTCTGGATGTCTCTCCCACCTGGCCGCCTCCTAGCCCTGGTGCCTCCCTGACCGACCCCAGGCCCTGCCTGTACCTAAGTCCTCAGCGGTGTCCAGGAGGCTGCTGGGGTTGGGGCGGAGGCGGCCGTCAGGCCCTTGCAGGGGCAGTGTGTCCTCGTCCCGGATCAGGGTCAGGTCCTGCATGCTGAAGCTTCGGAGCTTCTCTGACAGCACCCCCTGGCCCTAGGGTCACCACCACGCACCGGGAGAACCGCAGGAAGGGGCGGGGTGGAGATGGAGGTCACCATGGGGCACTGGGCAGCCCCTGGGCTCAGTGCCTTCCCCACCGTCCTCACCCAGGCAGGGGCCATACTTTCCCTTTGGACAGATGACGAAACTGTGGCTTGGAGAGTAGAAGTCACTTAGCTGGAGTGTGGTAGGGCAAGGATTTGGAACCCTGAACTGCATAAGCCCCAAACCTTCACAGCCCTGAGGACTGTGGATGCAAAAGGGCCTGACCAGGAGGATGAGATGAACAAGGTGGGGCCCCAGGAGCTTGGGTCTGCCCCCATCTCACCTTGGCAGCAGCCGTGACCGCAGCATTGGCGGCCAGGTTCAGGCCTCTCTTGCCCACCCTCATCATGGTCTCATAGCTCTTGTCTCGGGCCTGTGTGATGTACTCATCGATCTCCTGAAAGGTTGGAGGGGAAGGAGGAAGAGGTGAGGGGTGGGCCCTACTGGCCAGGCCCTGTCCTGCCCTTGTTCACACCTGCAGACAAAGGCACTGCCTGCTGCAGAAGGCCAGGGCCCTGGCAGGTCACTTCAGGCTCTGAGCACCCACAGGGAGGGCCGGGAATGTACGTGGCTACAGGCACAGGGCTGTCTTGGCCTGTGGCCGGCTGGGAAGCAGAGTAGGGGCAAACCTTCTCCTTGTTGGACAGTGTCGGGTGCACGAACTTGCGGTAGAGTACGCTGGAGCCCTTGGTATAAGGGGACAGCAGCCATATCACAAAGGCGATCTTGAGCTCAAAGTAGAAGGGGAACCTGTTGAGGGGACAGAGGCAAGCGGCATATGCCGGGGCAGGGAGTCAGGAGGTGTGCTGACCCCTGCACCACCTTGGCTGGTCCCCCACCCCTCAGGGCATTGGGGTCACCCCCCAACGTGGCTCAGGAGACTGGTCATTTCTAATCTTAAGGGAACTTGGAGCCTTGGCTGAGATCCCAAGTGGGAAGGTGAGAAGTGAGCCCAACAGGAATTCCCCTCAGCAGTGGCTCCCTTGCCCTTTTCTCTCTCAGTCTCGGCCCTCTCAACCTGACAGAAGACACCCCTACTGCTCTGTCCTGGGGTCAACTCCAAGGCAAGTTCCCTAACCTTCTAGATGTACTCCTAGATCCTCACCCCCCTTCTCCTCCTGCCCTTCCTCCCATGAAGACGGGGGCTTCTCCAGCTGTGCTCTGGATCCCATCCTTGCTGCGATGACGTGCCCTCTGCTTTTAAGAATTCTCCGTTCTTTTAAGAATTCTGCACTCCCCATGGTTCCCTCTCTCAGGCCACAAACTCCTGCAGGCAGGTCTCCTACATCCTCACAAAAACACCAAGTAAAGCTCTCTCCTTTGCTTGTTAGTCAAGAGGCAGCCCCACTCACTGCCCTCAATTTTTTTTTTTTTTAAGCTGAGCCATCCTGCCACCTGTTGGCAGCCCAGCGGCTGCTCAGCTCGGGCCGGCAATCGAACTGCTGTTGCTCAGAGCTCAAACTCTTGAGTGAGCTCTTAACCAACTCAGCCACTCAGCCGGCCCCACTGCCCTCAATTTTTAATCCAATTACCTTGCTCTACTAAAAGTATTTTTCTCAAAGGACATAGACACTTGTACAGCAGGTCCTCGAATAATGTCGTTTCATTCAAAATCATTTTGTTATAACATTGATGAGATGCTGTAGGAACTTAACGCTTATTTATATCAATTAGCCTGTGGTAAAATTGGTTTTGTTATATATCGGCTTGCTTAAAGTTGCAGAACCTATCAACGACATCAAGTGAGGACTTACTGTAATCTATGCAACCATCTTTTGTCCTCTACCTTTCTGTAAAACTCTCTTTTCTTGACTTCCAATGGACTGTGCTATGTTAGTTCTCACTTCCAAGAGGCATTTGCCCATTCAATAAACATTTCTGAGCTCCCGCTGTGAATATACAGATGATGAAGACATTCCCTGTCTTCAAAGTGTTCAGACATAGTCTAGTCGTGCCTGGAAAATGCCTTTGAGATACAAGCATCCAATGTGCTTAGGACTGAATCATTTACAAACAGGGAAAATGAGACCTAGAGAGCTGTGACATGCCCAAGGTCTGGCAGAAACTGGATTCTGTTGTGGTACTTTTGTAGCCACCAGAAATAAATGTGGGGGTACATATGTTCTTATTCTGCTGATCAAGCCAGGCCTGGATAGGGGGGTGGGGGCGGGGGCATCCAGAAGCCCATGGAACTGTGGTCTCCACCCTGGGTCTCAATCTTCTCTTTGGCTGGCTGGGTAGAGAAAGTCAGAGGCCCTGGAGCCCGAGAAGCTGGGAGGGCATGCTGGACCTCACCAGGAGAGCACGATATCCGTGAGTGTCTCAGCCGTGGTGAAGAAGGCAAAGACGATCCAGTACATCATCCACTTTACCTGAGGGTACAGAGGGCAGCATTGGCTAGGGCCTGGGGGGCCTCTGCCTGTCAACTGTGCTGGAGGTTCTGTGGGGAAATGACGCTCAGGACCTCAACTTTGCCTGAGGGTCATACCAGGGCAGGGGGAAGGAACACACAGGAACTTCCTATGAACCAGGGTCTCAATAGTGCCAACAGCATTGGTACAGTTACCCCATATATGACGTGACCCACTGTCGCCCCCTATCTCTGCTATGTGGGTTGGGTGGGAGATGACGGGTCATACACTCACATATTCCTTCACGTTTTTTGTCTTCACGGCCTTGTAGGAAGAATAGGCTGGGTACAGCGTGCCAAAGATGAGCCTAGGGAGGCAGGCATGGTTACTGGGCCCCTTGGCCGAGAGCAGTGTCCTCTCCCTCCCAGCTCTGCTTCAGCTCCAGGTAAAGAGAGAAGGGATAGAACTCCAGGGTGCCGCAGCAGCTGGACTGATGAACTCAGGTCAGGGGTTAAGGTCAAAGCAGTCCAGACTCAGGCGATGTGTAAGCCAGCATGGAGGTCCCAGCCAGCTAAGGGACCTCTATTGATTAGTTTTTCTCCAGCCCAAGATACAGAAAGACCCAGAAGGTCCAATGTAGTCCTTTCAGCCATGACCCTTGGTTATGCACAAACGTATGGGAGTGGGGATCTCGTTACTGCCATCAGGGTGTCTTCTCCAGACACCATGTCCATTCATACCCATCTGCCCTTCCCATCTACCTCCCGCGTCGTCTCAGAGCCTGGCTGCGTAGGGCCAGGTCTGCAAGGGAACCTGACACTGCCTAACAGGGCGCTCCACCTGGCAGTCAGAGGCAACACTGTGGCCCTGGGGACCTGGGGAGCAGAGGACATAAGAGCAGGAGGCCCTGGGAAGGGCAAAGAGGATTATTCCCCCATGTGAACCCTCTTGGGACCAGGCTCAGGGAAGGGCCCTGGGCTCAAGGCCCTGGCTGGAGTGGACCTGATGGAGAATCCATTAGAGACCATATATAAGTAGCAGGTGAGGGGATGAGAGGATTGATGCCCCTCAGGGAGCTCATTCAGACAAGAGAGAAGCAGCCACTCTGAAGGCCACAAGAAATGAGCCCCGTGGATGCCCTCTGGGGTGGGATGGAGGAGAGGAAGGAGGGAGACTCCGGTGGGTCTACAGGAAGCCAAGACACAAGCACAGGATAGCACTGAATGGGAAGGCAGCATGGAGGGGATTCTGGGGTGTCAGTCCTCCATGGTGGACTTGAGCCACATGGGCCTCCGCCAACCCCCCACCCCAGGGGCAGGGTCTTGAGCTGGGGTGGGGGGTTGGCGGAGGCCCATGTGGAGCCCCTGCCAGCCCCAGCCCCTTGACAATGTGGGGGTACTGGTTGTTCCTCCCTGGACCCACCTCATACAGGCAGGATACTTCCGAACTGGCCTGTGGAGATGGGGTGGGGGTGGAATCCACAAGAACAAAGTCTGGGGTTGTGGGAGCAGGGTTCCCTCCTGGAGCCTGGGGGAGGTGGCCAGGGACATAGCTCTAAGATGTGGCTGATGGCCTGGAAAGAAGGCCCCTTAACGCCCTCCCCTCTGTGACTTCCACAATTCCAGACTGAGCACACACATATTCTCTCCCCGTTACCTCCCACACTTTGTCCTCCAAGCATCTCTGTTTCCTGATACCCAGACATTGTCCCTGGGGGGGCCTTCAGAGCATGTGCTCTCATCCCCATCTCCTGATGGTTGGTGGAAGAGGGAGGAAGGGCTCAGCCCTTTGGGGAGGCTAAGGCTGCTGCTATGGCCCTAAGCTATGAAATGACAAGGCCCGGCCTTGCTCCCCACTCTTCCATTAGCTCTTACTCTCCAGGGAGATGAGGGCCCAGGTCTGAGCAGCTCCTCCAGCTCAGATCTGGTAGGTGAGGGAAGGAACATGCCCGCCTCCCCTCATAAATCAGGCGTAGAGCTCAGCCCCTAGGATGAGGCGAAGGAGCAGGGAAATTAAAAAGGGTGGGAAGCCAGGCCTGCCATGCTCCTCAATATTTCCCCCGCCAGCCCTGGGTCCCACACCTCCATGTCTCTGGGGACCCCAAATAGGGTTGATACGCCTTTAGGTGACTGTGCTGTATGAAGGCACGGAGTGGTCCATCCCGGGCTTCAGTACCACCTCACTCCCACCCCTATCCCCATCCTCCCTCCACCCAGCCGCGCCCGCCGCCGCACTCACACCACCAGCCGAGAGATGATCCAGGACACCATGGCGAGGCGAGGCGAGGCGCGGGGCGGGGACCCCGCCCGGGCCGAGGATGCAGCTGCCGGAGGTCGAGCGGTGGCGGCAGCAATAGCCGCAGTAGGAGCAGCAGCCGCAGCAGCAGCCGCCGCGGGGGCCGCGGAGCACTAAGCCGCCGCTGTTTAAAGGGGAGGTCCCTGCCGCAGCGGCGGGCCGTGGGCGGTGGCGGTTCTTAAAGGGGAGGCCGCGGCAGCGGCGGCGCGCCCCCCGCACCTGCTGTCGCCGGGCATGCGCCTTTGACCCTCAGTGCTCGTACACCTTTCTTGGGTTCCAAACCGCAGGGTTGAAGTCCCCAGAAGCCTTCACGGTTCCATCCTGACATCCCAGCCGTTCTCCTGCCCTACCCACATCGGGCTGAAAGGCTTAAACATCCACGACGAATAATAGTTATGACCTGAATGCTTACTGTGTGCCAGGCCCTGTGCTAAGGGCTTCACCTGCATTGTTTCAGTGAACGCTCACGACCATCCTCTAAGGCAGAAGTTATCATTATCCTCCTTTTGAAGATAAGGAAACGGGAAGCTTATGGAGGTTCAATAATTTGCCAAGTGTCACAAAAACACTGAGTCATGGTTCTATGAATCCCATTTACTTTAAACGGGCTACTGCTCCCAACTGCTGACTAGCAAACCCCTCCTCCCCCATTACCGATCCTGTAAAGACACCCATCCAAGAATTCCTGAGGTCAAAGGTAGAGCTGCACCTGTCCACCTCACTCTTTCTCAACCTTCAGCAATCACCCAGTTGTGAGAACCCCTCTCCCCAATCTGATCTGTTTAGGGTTGTGGGTTCCTCAGCTTTGCAGGGAGCCCTATGTTCTCAAGGTGGATACCCTGGGGCAGGGAAGTCAGACCTTCGAAGGCCTGGGTCTAGGTTGGAGATGGATTCGGGGGCTCCAGTTCCACCCCCATCAGCAAGCACTGGCAGCCGTAGATGCCCTAATTCTGAAGACATTTATATCCAGAATGTAGGCTAGCCCTAGCCGGCCTCCTGATTTTTACCAAAGCAACAAACCTCCAGCCCCCACTCCCTTCCCTTCATTGCTTTCCTTTCCTGTCCCATTTCAGAGCTTTTGCATTCGTCTGTCCTTTATGTGGAGGTATAGTCCTCCTGGAAATCACAGCACCAACCCGTGCCCATCCAGGCTGAAAGGACATGCTCAGAGCTCTGTATTTCAGTTATGGTCCTATTCAAACTTAGTATCTTTGAACCATACAATGATCTATTTCCACTCTGATAATTGCATTTCCAGGCTCAAACCCTTTGGAAGGTGTTTTCCAACAGGCTCCCAAGAAACAGCCTCTAATGACCCCTCTTGCTATTCTTTTCAACTTCCTCTTCGAAAGGCCTTTTCTAATTGGAATATCGTCTGTCCACTTAATTGCTGCTTCATAAACAAAAATAAATCCCATTTGGGTCTTCCTCCACCAACTCCCAGGTAGAACTAGAGCCACGTTTCTTATGTGGACAGCCCAGGCCTTCTGCTTTGAGGAACCCCACCACTAATGGCCCAAAGCCTTGCTCAGGTCCTCCCCCATGACCCTTTCCCCCCAGAATGGCCCAGGAAGGTAGGACCTCACTTTTCTCACTCTATTCATTATGGGAAACCTGTCTCTACTCCCACCTTCAAACTTATGTGGTCCCTTCCCTCCTCAATCCCAAGCCACAATGACTCTGCACTTTCGTCTCCCAACTGGGCACAAATTCAGAAGCAAAGGGTAATAATGGGATGCGGCAATGTAATGAACCACCTTCCACCTCCAACCCCACCCTCCACCTGGCCTTGATTTTAATAGCTGGCACAGGAAGAATTTAGTCCACTCCAAACAGATTTGTTAGATTTTTAATAAGAACATGGAAATCCCAATCAGCCCTTCAACAAAATTAAAATACAGAAAGTGAAATTAAAAGTATTCTACAGTAAATGACATTAAAAAAAAAAAAAGTAACTGTGAACATATAAACAAGCCTGCCGGGCACTACAGTACAGCCGGAAAGAAGATAGATACATTTTCCAATGTACCCATGGGCCAATGAATTCCATTATTTTCAAATAAATTCTTAATAAAACTCCACTGAGTTGGAAAGTTTTGCCGAAAATATTTCTGGACAAAATACCCAAAGAACAAAAAGCCTCATGTAGGAAAATGAAACTTTCCTTTGAATTTGGAACTGTAAGGAGTCCCAAGGGAACGCTGGTAGTAGGTGGAAATGGTTCCTGAAGTCACCAGTGTGTGTATGTCTGGAATATACCACAGCTCAGACATGACAAAGTTATTTCTCAGATGGCTGTTCCCTCAAGATAGGACTGAGATGGGAGGGGAAGAAACTAAAAGAATCCTAAAAAGCCAATTCTTTTAAATTCTGCTTTGGCTGATTTTGTGCTATAATGGGCAGTTGATTTCTAAAAATCATATTTCTCCAAAGAGTTTTATCGAAAGGAAGACTAAATGTAATGTGCCTTTCCTCATAAACCAGGAAAACAACTGTGGTATTTCAAAAATTCTAAAAATATCTACTTTCATGAAATAGTAACTATTTCACTACAAACCTATTTTTCACTAAATACACACGTTTCCTAATCCTGGAGCCTCCTGGGAAAAGCAGTGGGTTCTCCCCGGGTCCTGCAAGACTCCAGTGTTCACGGGCGAGATTGTGGGGAATGGCTTCACCCCGTCTCCTGGGATGGGCTGTGTCAGAGGTCACGTGCAGAGATAGTCAGGCTTCCACCAGGCATGTTTAAGCAATGAGCCCCTACTTGTACCAGTTATGTGATTCCCTCTACCTCCAAACACATTCCCACTTAACTAGGCACGAGAGAAAAAGAAAAGAAAGGTGTGCCCACATTCCTGGTTTCCACGAATCTCAAATCACAAGAATGTAGGAAAGCCCCGCGATGTTCAGGCAATTCAGAGTCCCAGAAGGCCACAGGATGGGAATGTGGCACCCTCGGCTTGGAGTCTGAAACTGTGTATGTGAACAGTGCGACTTTCCTGTGTCAACCTTCAGTGTTGAGGCAGCGTAGAAGAGAGTGGCTGGCGAGTTTGTAATACTGACCACACTGGCTCCGAGTGAAGGGCCTCTGCTCCAGCAGAGAACCCTGCCGTTCCCTGTATGTGTGTGAGTGAAAGACCTGCTTCACAGGGGAGTTTGGAATTTCTTGATGCCTAAGACCTTGCCAGTTTGGATTCATGAGCCTTGAGGGTGCCAACAGCATCTTTCACTGCATGATAAATGATGTTCTTCACCTGGAGAGAGCAAACAGCAGTCAGTTCATGGCAGCCCCATGCTGTCTTCTGCAAATGAAAATGTGTGCTACACTGACCCCCCAGCCAGGATGGCGTGCTTCCCAAATCAACCCCAAAGGTGATTTACAACTCACATAGGATATAAGGTCCATATTCAAAGAAAAATGATGAAATTGTTTGAAAGGCTAGATAATCACCATCATCTATCTATGTGCTTGCTGTGTGCTGGGCACTATTGCTAAGCTCTGTATGTGGACTTTCATTTAATCCTTATCATAATCTTGTGAGGTGCACTTTTTTATTATCCCCATTTTATAGAAGAGAAACTGAGGAAACCAAGGTTCTATGGTTAAGAACGTTGCCTGAGGTCCTGTAGCTAATAATGCACTAGAACGATAGTGGGCAAGTAGGATTATTGACTAAAAGGAACACATTATGTGTGAAGTAGAAAGATACAGTAATAGTTATTTGAAGCGAACAGTCTCAAGGCAATTTAAAATGAAGAGGCTAAAGACGGTTTTAAACCAAGATGGTGGTTATTTCTGGGGAGGGAAGTGGGGAAATGGAATGGGAAGGGTACATACAGTTGTGTATGTTTACGTTGTACATGCGTATGTATATACACAACGTTTTATTTCTTAAGCTGAGTGATGGGCACACAAGCCCCCCCTGTGCTATTCTCCATTACATTTTTTGTATTAATTCAATACATAGTCACTGAATACCTACTATGTGTCTGATATTATGCTTAGGAAAAAAAATCAGTGAATAAAACAGTAAAATACCTGCTTTCATGGAGCTTAAATAGCTTACATTCTAGTAGGGATAGAAGCAAACAGATAAAATACAAAGTATGTTAGGTGGTAAAAAGTACTACAGAACAAAATAAAGCAGTGACAGAGGATTGGGAGTGCTGGAGACGACCTGTTAGAAGTAAGAGACCTAATGGAGGTGGGGTCTGAAATATGTACGCCTGAGTATTTGCATTAAATCTATAATATCAATGTTATCTATTTATCAATGTGGCTGTATTTTGCATAAGAGCTTCATGGTTGAAATGTTCCATAATTTTGAAAAAGCAACAGCAAAACAGATCAGACTCAGGGTTGACGGTGATTGACTCTACCAGCAACCAAGGAAAATCTCCAACCTCACAGGTCACTGACCAGAGAAGACACACCTGAGCCACAGGCATGATGGAGGGAAACAGGCCACAAGTGAGAGGGCTGGGAGAGTGCCTATTCAGATTGCTAAAGTTCTGCTTGGGGAACCGTGCGCTTCCTTATTCTTTCTTCTTTTTATGCTACTAAAGCACCCAAGTGTATTAACAATGAAATTCTGCCCTGAAAGTTCCAATCCATTTGGGAGCAGGGGAAGACCTAATCTGATTGTCTAGCTTAGATCTACAAGGGGAAAACAATCCTCACCCCTGTGAATACAATTTTCAGGGACATGAATTGCAGTCCCTAGCAGGGCTCTAAGGAATTGAGTTTGCACAGAAATTTGTTGTGAGGAGCGGCTTCAGAGAAATAGCCTTTTTGGACACAAGCTCAGAACTAATTGCCACAGTGCTTTTCCCACCTGACTGGGGAAGTCAGTCTAATCATAGTTACTAACATGAAACATTGTATCTTCCAGGGACAGAGAAATAGAACACTGTCACACTGGAGATGATTAGGTTAAAAGATGAGTAATCTCTAAACCCAAACCAGAAGAGGACTGATTAAATACTTCCTGGATGGAGGACTGCACACCTGCACACAGGTTCCCTTAATCATCTCGCCACAGTCATACCTCCTAGAGAACACCCTCAGAAAGTAGAATGTGCCTCCTGTGTATGTAGCTGAGCAGGAGATGAGAAGACGGAGTGGAGGTGGAGGAGGAGCTATTTACCTGCAGTTTATCCTCATGGTTTGTATGAGTGTTAGAGAGGTGCCTGAATTCCTGTGTTAGGCGGAAACAGTGC